CCCCTGTCACGGCAGAGAGCCGTGACAGGATCGAGAGGTGAGCGAACGCCGGTATGTGTTCGCTCACCTCCCGATCTACTGAGATGACCTGTGACAGTCTCATTGTCACAGTTCGGCTAGAACTATGAGGTGAGTGAAAAGCACCCCCCCTCCCCCCTCATAGTTCTCCTTTAATGTAGCATCACATCACATCACTGACTGTATTAGATATTACATAACTACAACTTGTTTTTGATGCCTCCGGAAGCTCTGGTACTGAATTTGCTGAGATTTCAAAAATAGGTTCCTGTAAAGGTCCATTCAGTTGGTGCCACAAATCCCAGAATATGTGTTAAATGATTGTATTCTATTATTTATTTATATATTGATTTTTGCAGGGTGGTTCTTGCTTCGGTCAGCCCCTATTTCCGGGCCATGTTCACTAGCTCTATGCTGGAATCTGAACATGGAGAAGTTTGCCTTCTGGATGTCTCCTCTTCTGTCATTCAGAGCATCCTGCACTTCATATACAGCGGTGAGGCCGCCCTCAGCTTGGACAGCGTTGAGGATCTGTTTACCGCGTCCGGCCGCCTGCAGATTACAGCCATGCAGGAGGTGCAGCAGGTGCTTGAGCAATGTATAACCCATCTAGGTGATGATATTGGGTCTGTGAGCCCCTACAGATGAAAAATAGGGAACAGGCGTCAGCAGCAATATTGGTTTAAGGTAGACTGTCACAGGTCGGCTCAGTAAATCGGGAGGTGAGCGAACACATACCGGCGTCCGCTCACCTCTTGATCCTGTCACGGCGATCTGCCGTGACATGGGAGGGGCTGGATTCCCCAGCTGACTCTGCCTCTAGATAGGCAGAGCCAGCTGTCACTCACGCAGCTGGGCGGATCCAGCCGCTCCGGCTGCGGCGTCTCAGTATACCGCGAGCTACAGCTCCCTATATACTGAGCTTAGGGTGACGGGGGGACGCTAGTTTGTGTCCTCCCGTTACCCTAAGGAGAACTATGGGGAAAAGCCTTAACCCCATAGTTCTCCTTTAATACACAGAAACGAACTACATACAGTACAGAGAAAATTAAATAACACAATTACAGTACAGCATATCAGCATTTAGTACAAGACAATACAAATAATAAAAAAATTAAGAAAAATACATGTACGACTACACAAACACTACAAGGCTAATTAAGGTGTGGATCGTTGGTATCATGTGCTTGCAACACGGCCAATCCCACCAGTGGGTCCAGCCATGCTACTGAAAAACCCCTGGGGGGAGAAGGGAGAGGAAAAAAAGAAAGAAGCTGTGTTGGACATCTGGCGCCCCTGTTGCCAATGGCGCCCTGTGCTCGCCCTGGCTATGCCCCCTCTCAGCTGCGCCTGAGGCGAGTGCCTCACTCGCCCCATGGTAGCTACAGCCCTGATTCTCACTTATTCATACATGCCAGGGCCTTTTTCTCCCTCCCCGGAAAACACTACCATCAAGCCAGTCCCAGCGAATTGCCTTCTTTCTTGAGGGTTCCAAAATGACTTGCCCCCTGTGTACAAAGCCAGCTCCATAAAGACATGGTTTGAGGATTTTGGGGTGGACGAACTTGAGTATCCTGCACAGAGTCCTGACCTCAACCCTACTGAACACCTTTGGGATAAACTGGAACACTGATTGAGGACCAGGCCTTCTGATCCAACATCAGTACCTGACCTCACAAATGTTCTTTTGGCTAAATGGGCTCAAATTCTCAGAGACACACTCCAAAATCTTGTAGAAAGCCGTCACAGAAGAGTGAAGGTAGTTATGACTTGTTCATACATGAGAGGGCCTTTTTCTCCCTCCCCGGAACTCTACCATCAAGCCAGTCCCAGCGAATTGCCTTCTTTCTTGAGGGTTCCAAAATGACTTGCCCAAGAAGCCACAAAGGTTTATGGCTGTTCCAGCTTGTGAGTTAGGTTTGTGCAGATGACACAGGAAGAAGGTTTGGCCATATGCCCCTGCCCCCAGCCCAGCTTGCAATCTGCTACAAAACAGGTGTGGGCAGTAAATACCAGCAGGGGTTCTGGACTGTCCCATGGGCTAAGGACCCTCAGGCATCCCTTCATCCTTCAGTGTCACTTCTCCAAGAGTTCTTTCATTGCTTTGACGATCCTCATCTTCTTTATCACAAAGCCACATGTATTACCTCTTTCACAAGGCAGAAAAATACCTTTATATCAAAGCTATGTCATAGATCTCAATCTATAGAATCTCAGAATAGGTGAACTTTCCAAGTCTTATATGCCTCCATAAAGAAATATTAAGGTGGACGCGCCAGTTATAGAGTTATAGTCAATCCCTGGATCCCTGTGAACCATTTAATGTGATGATAACGGCATGTGTGAAGATTAACAATCTATTATTTCTTTGTAGGTTTCTCATCAACAAGCTGACCAATGATAACTGCTTCTGGGTTTACAGACTGGCTCGCAGCCATAATCATATCAGACTTCAAGGGGTAGCCATTCAATACATCTGCTGGAACATAACCAGACTTTATGACAAAGAAGACTTCCTCCATTTGGAGCAGGATGAGCTCAGAAGTGTTCTTTCCTCAGATCAGTTGATGGTATCTTCAGAGCTTTGCATCTTTCGCATGGCTCTTCGATGGTGGAAAGCCAACGGGGCCGCAGGCAGTCCATTTCCTGTAGAGCTCTGCAGAGTCATCCGTTTTCCATTAATGTCGCCCCGTGAGCTGGAAGAGGTCAAAAGAGACGAAAGTCTGGAGCTGTCTGGCCCTCAGGGATCAACGACGTTCAGACTACGCCAAGGAATGTTTGAGAACCGCATTGTCTGCATGGACCTTCAGGCCAGAGAAGACCACACTCTTGATGACAATGATTTCTTCCTCGACTGCTATGACCCTGTTTCCGACCATTGGGATAAACTCGCTCCTTTAAAATCTTTGATGTATCCTGGATGCCTTGCTGTAGAGAACTATCTGTATGTGACCGGGGGGATGAACCAGGATGATGCTGTTTCCCGAACATTCCATGTCTTTGATTCCTTAACCAACACCTGGACAGAATTTCCAAGTATGAGGAGCCCCAGGTCTCTCCATGGATTCCTATCCTATAAGAAGAAACTCTTTGCAGTGGGAGGATGGAACGGGGGTGACGTCATGGACTCAATGGAATGCTTTGACCTCTCCAAAAATTGTTGGTCCGAGTCACCTAAGCTACCTTTTCCATTGTGTGCTTTTGCATCCACGCAGTTAAAAGGCAAACTGTACGTCATCGGAGGAGAAACTGGGCGGGAGCGTTTATTCAGCGAGAAGGGACTCCTGATCTATGATACAAGTTCACATCTGTGGAGTCATATCCCAAATAAAATAGTTGTGGCCTTTGGGGGAGCGGTGACATTAGATAACAAGGTGTTTGTGATCGGTGGCTGTGATAACTATTGTCCATCTACAGGGCAGGCAGTGGCCACTTCTACGTGTCTGTGCTTGGATGAGCGGGGTTGGGTGTCCCAGGAACTCAAAGTCCCACCACTTCCTGAGAAGTTGGCATCAGCTGGAGTCGTTCGATGGCAACAAAGGATCTATGTACTGGGAGGGGAAAATGGGGATAAGTTTTATAAAACAGTATATTATTGGACTTCGGGTGACTCCAAATGGACACTTTGTACCCAAGGACTACCTATCCCTCATGAAGGAGTGAGTGGCTTTGGTTGTGTTACTATGCGGGTGCCTAGGGGAAAATTTGGTCACCTGATCCCACACAGGAGATAAATGTTTCATTCATAAGATATATTTGTGCAGAGCTTACTATTGATAGTAAAGAGATTGCTAGCTGTCAGCGCCATGAGCTACCTGATTTGTATATTCTAGGACCTTGGTTCTCAACTGGTGGGTCTTGACCCAAAAGTGGGTCGGGACCGCGTGTTCAGTGGGTCGCCGCATGCCTTCCACTTTTCTCAGTGAGAGGCTCCTCAGCCTCCCCCTACCGCAGCACCATCAGTTCTCGTGCCAAGCAGCCATTTAAAATATGCTGCCTGGCGCCATGTGTCAGCTTGAGATGGGATGGGGGGTATGGCCACCAGGGAGTTCCATCCATACGGGCATTGCTTACAGCTCCCTCACGTGTCCTGTGGTGGTGCCTGGACCGGAGTGATGTCACATTCTGGTTCCCGGCACCTCTACAGGGCACACAAGGGAGCTGTGCAAGCAATGCATATATGGATTCACCCCTGGATGGAGCTCCATCACAGCACAGCAGCCCACACTGCACCCCAGGCTGAGGAGAAGGAAAGTGGGTGGGCCTGAAAATAGTGTGTGATTGTGTCTGTGTATGTATGTCAGTGTATTTGAGAGCCCGTTCACAGTACAGTGCATTCAACTGTACCACGCAATCGCACCTACCGTGCGTTCTGGTGTGGGAGGTGTGCTGCGTTGCCATTTTTTTGAATGGTACCCCAAACGCACCTCCCGCCCACACTTGGTACGCCCGCACCCGAACACGCGGTACCCTAATGTGTGCGTTCCATTGCAGTGCAGACTTGGGTCCCGACTTAATGACAAATGTGGGTCCTGAGGTTACACAGGTTGAGAACCGCTGATCTAGTAGAATAAAGAGGATCGTGGGGGAGGTCTGCAGAAGATGGCGGCCGGAGTTGTTTTTCTGCAATGTTCCCCTTTATTTTGTTTCATTTTCATGACAGGGGAGGGGGCGGGTACAGCTGGCTCTGCCTCTAGATAGGCAGAGCCAGCTGTCACTCACGCAGCTGGGCGGATCCAGACATAATTGTGGGGATCCGCTTCAGCTGCGGCGTCTCAGTATACTGCGAGCTATAGCTCCCTATATACTGAGCCTAGGGTGACGAGAACTATGGGGAAAAACTTAATCCCATAGTTCTCCTTTAATACATTTTGCATACAAAGGACAGTTGGGGCAGATGTACTAACTGTCAATGTTACTGTATTTTCTGTCCTCGCATACGCACTGTGGCGATGCAGTGTTATATGGACATGAGCACGGGGCAAAGGCATTCAAAACACATTGTTCTGCTATTTCGGAGGCAACGAGCCCCCAAAACCGCTCACTGACAATGCAGAACGAGCAGCGGCCATGTTGGCCGCCGGCGTGTTCTGTGCATGCGGGCCGCCATCTCTGAGTGTATTCCAAGATGGCGACGCCGTATGTACCAAGATATACTCAAAGATGGCGGCGAGCCTGTGCAGAATGATATGGCCACCGCTCGTTCAGTGTGTGACGTCATAACGACCAACAGCCATGTCGGCCACCAGCGTGTTCTGCGCTAGCGCTCTGCCATATTTAAGTGTATCCTTGTGTACACCATTTGCGCCCGTATATTCGGGCGCCACCATCTTGGTGTATACCAAGATATACTCAAAGATGGCGCCGCGCCTTCTCAGAACATAAATTCTGCAAACTAATTTACGTATGCCCGAATGCAGGGGCGTCCCGAGGCCGGGTGTGACCCGGAGCGGTTACAGGGTGACACCATGCAGTGACGTTACCACGCGCGTGCGCGATGACGTCGTC